TCTTATCTAATTATAATATATTAATATATAGTAAATAATTCTAATCAGATACAAAGAATTCAAATACTTTCTAATTATAATTAATAATATTATCTGTCTTATATAAACAGCCATACTAAAATAAAAGAATAATATTTTTATAAAACTTATTTAAATAAATAATAAATATAAGAATATAATTAGCTGTTATATAACAGTATAGTATTTTAATAAGAGCCATAAATTTAACTGCTTCAAAGAATAAGTAAATTATTAAGATTAAGAAATTTAAATTATTATATTATCTCTTTAAATATCTGAAATAAATGGCCTTATAAAATACTATAATAATTTACTTAATTAAATAAGTAGAGTCATGATACTTGACTCTAATCTATCTATTAATCTTTAATTATTTACTGTAAGACTTACTATACAGATTCTAAATTATCTAGTATCTGCAGAAAGCAAGATTAAATAAATATCTATTTATCTATATCAGTTATATTATAATCTTCCAAATTCTAATATTTTGCTTGATTTTCTATATATTTTTAGATATTACTGTTATTAATATATACCTGTAGAAAATCAGATTATATCTAGAAAAATATCTCTTTATACAGAAACTGGTTACTTTATCAGATTCAACAGGGATCATAGCTATATATATCTAATTTAATATTCTGATTTAAATAAAATAAAGAAATCAAGAAATATAACTTTTTATAAGAATTATATATACAGAAATAACTATAAAGATTTTAATAGGGTAATTACCACGCCTATTCCTAAAAATTTAATTATACTGGAGACAGGTACTTTAATTAATTTTAAAAATATTTTTTTATATAAAGTAATTACAAAGATTAATATTATTAAAAATCTCTTTATACAGGATAACATTGCTAATAAACCTGTATATAGAAAAATATAGATTTTATTAATCTCTGCTAAACCTACTAAATATAATCTGATTTACTTAATTAAAGAATCCTCTAATTATAAAATACTGTTTATTAAATATTTAAAACAAGATTTCTATCTTACTAAATCTGAATTACTTATTATAAATACTGAAGCTATTATTTCAAGATAATTATAATATATTATAAAAGAAAAGAGTCCTTCGTGGCTAGAAAATAAATAAATAATTATATTAAAGTAGGAATCTAACCTGCTTTTCTTATCTATATTAAAATAATATAAAGTAATTATTCTAAATATCTATACAGAGACTATCTTATTAAGTTATTATTACTTATTCTGTACTGGAAAACAGTCATAACTATATAAATTAATAAGATTAAATTAATAAAAATATATGATATTATTAATTAGCCTGCTGGCGCTTATATAATTCTAGATAAATAAATATTTAATCTAAAGATTAATACAGAAAGTATTATTATATAATTTTATGCTTACTGGATGGTTTGCGGCAATTATTAGATATTTAATATTAATTATATTAAATCCTGTTGGCTGGAAATCAGGAATCCTTACTAACTAAAGTAATCATCTCTTGACTACCCAACTCAGCTGAGAATCCCATA